AAGATTTGATTTACATTTCTAATTAAAATTGTTTTTGATCATACGTATAGATAATTATATAAAAATTCCAAAATTCTAAAATTTCAAATACATACAAAAACAATCATATGTAAATTTTAAATTTGTGAATATTAAAATTTTATATTTTAATTACATATATTCACCCTGCGCAAGGCGCAGGTCTTATCCTAGTTAATTAGTAAATTAACAGAGTCGTTAAGCACGAAAATAGTGGTTAGAGACAGAGCAGAGGAGCCAGCGAAGGTTTTTAATTGAAAAAAAAAGAAACCTAAAGTGTGAAGCCGTGGAGGAGACAACAGAATCATAAAAAAAATCAAACTCCTTTTCCTTCCTCAACCACCAAATCAATCTCTCTACGTTCCAAAACGGCGTCTAGTTAATGCCTGGAAGCCACGGAGAGATCACGGTGGATGAACAGAACGGAGTCGATAACGATCACAAGACGACGACGAGAAGGAGGAAGAAGAAGAAGGAGAAGGAAGAGGACGAGAATCAATTAGTAATACCCTCAATTTCAAAACCCAGGAAGCGATTTATAGATAAATTCAGAAAGAAACCCAAATCACCAAAACGATCATCATCTTCTTCGTCTTCACGTTCTGGTGGGTCCCATAAAGGAGGATGCTTTTCTTTGAGGAGACGTCGGAGAACAGAGGAGGAGGAGGGTTCTCCTTCTTCTCCTGTTTCTGACCCTAATGATGAATGCTTCACTCATGAGATGTTGAGAGTTATGTTAGAGACTAATGATTTCTTCTCTAATGATTGCAATCCACATCGGTGATTTTGTGTAAGTTTTTTATTAATTGTGGGGTGGGAGGGGGGGGGATTCTTGTTATAGATTTATTTTTATTTTTATGCTCAATCTGTATAAATTTTTTATGCCTATCAATGTTTTTTTTTTCTTATGGTGTCACACCAATGAGGATGATGATGATCATCTATCAGTATGATAATCAATTGTGTATGGAATCGGATTCGTATAGCAGAGTGTGATTGATATGGTTTAGGTTAAAGTTTTCATTGAATTGTGTTATTTTTTAGCGTTGTAGGAGATCAAAGGTCAATGTATAGCTTTGTAGGATGATTTGTGTCTTCTCTCTAATGTGCCACCAAATGGTAAGATGTTATTCAAGACAGAGAGTGGCTCTATTTGAAGAAGTTCAGGTGCTCACGCCTTGGCTTATAGGTCTAGAGTTACAAGTAGGCATTAGGACTGAATATAGCCAGCTTATAGCTGATGATCTGACTTAAGGATGTCTCAGCATATTGTGTTGGATGTGCTGAATGTTCTAGTGCTTGGTTGGGTATTTACCGTATTTTGTTGAGAGCTTAGTGTCTCTCATTAATGTAGTTTGTTCTGGTTTAGTGAATCGAAGAAGAAGAAGAAGAGTAGGTTTTAACATGTTAAGTTGTTATCATATCAGCAATTGTACAATGGATATGTCCAAATAAGAAGGACTATTCGAAAGAAGAAGTATTTGAGCACTTGCGTTTATGGTGATTTTGCTGTATGAGTATGGTAGCTTGTAACTACTTCCCATTTTTTAGGTTTATTGGAGCAGCTCGAGTTTGTTTCTTTTGATCTGTTTACTATGACACACTATGTGAAGTGTAGCGACGGTGATACATAAAACTAGTCGTAACTAAATAACCAAGGAAGTAGTGTTGTCCATTGTCCAGCTTGATGCATACCCTTAATATAGTTGGTGATGCTGCTAAGAAAAGCACTGTTCTGATCATATACTTACTTATACAAATCTACATGCTAGTAGACAGATGACCTGATCATACTTTTGAAAAATACAGTAGATCCTAATAACAAAACTTTTTCTTTTGTCAATTGAAGACAAAACTTTTATCTACTTATCATTGCAATCCAAGTTGGGATAATTTAATTATGTAAAGGTGGATACCTACCCACCAACAAAGATCCTTCTTCCTTCCTTCGCCGCCATTTTGTCCCTTTACCATAAAAAAAAAAGGAACTAGGTAAACCCCAAAATTTCAGCGAAAACCTAATAACTGTTATATAATAAAAAGTGAACTTATATTGATATAACTTAGATTAAATTATATGTATGAGAGTGACGAGATAAAGAGAGATAGAATAGTGAGATGTTGAAGTTTTTATTCACTTCTACTCTTTTTTTTTTTTTTTTTTAACTCAACAACTACTTCATATTAGCCAAAACAATGTCAAACAACTTGTAAATCACCCTCTAGCGAATTACATAACCAACTAGGCACAATAGAATACAGCTTAGGGACAATGGACGTAAACGTAGCAGTCTTCTTCGCTATTCTATCTGCAACTTTGTTACCATTCCTACTGTAATACCTCACTTCAAAAGCCTCTGATCCCGACCTTAGGGCGCGAATTTCCTGGATTATGGGCTTCATTCTTGGCCATATTTCTTCTTCATCATTTATCATCCTCACAAGTGTTTGTGAATCTGTTTCAAACACCACACCTCGATAGCCAAATCCAGTCAAAGTAGCCATAGCCCGTCGTAAAGCCTCTGCTTCTGTGTCTATTGCTGACCCTCCAGCCGGGATTTTCTTTGCCCCTGCCCACAACATCCTCCCAACATGATCTCGTAGG